ATTCTATTCTATTCTATTCTATTCTATTCTATTCTATTCTATTCTATATCTTAGCTGGTTAGTAACTTACTCTGCCATCTGGAGTTCGAGGCCCTGAATAAGGTGGAACTTCACCCATTAGTACTGGCCACAAGTCAAAGAATTCCTAGAAAGTGAAATAAAGGTTATAAGAAAAATACATTTTAAAAAGTAGAACTGGTCCTAATATACTTTTTTTAAGTTGGGAGAAATATCTTTTCTAAACAGATATTCTTTGTGAAACTATTTTTGAATATTTCATCATTTTTCCCTTGCTGAAATCCAAGTAACTCAAGTAAATTCTGAAATTTAAGTACACGAAGTTTGCGTACGAAAACCCCCAACTTTCATCCCTATTATTTCCAGTGGAAAAGATGAGCTGTTGCCATTGGCACAGAAATAATAAATTTAACCAAATTAACCAATAAACTGATACAAAATTGGGAAAACATTCCAAATAAATTGTTTGATCTGCACAATTCTATAGGAGAATGTGGCAGGAAAATGCTGTATTTCAATGACTGGGCACATAATTTGTGTATGCAGAAAGGCCAATTTGTGAAACTAAATATGGGATCCTTGGTACTCTTTGAGCTTGATTGATCTGGCATTGATGACATTACTTAGTTTGGTAATGAAATGTCTGCAAGAAAACCACCAAACTAAGAGAGTACCAAGGACCCCACAGTTCAACCCAGAGCTATAAGTATTGTCTTCTATCAAAACGAAATATGTTAGGGGAATATTTTGAAGAATAGCAGATAATAGCACTGTAAATGATGCAGTATTTTGTTTGTTTCATTCTGATTTTGCTGCACAAACATTTTGATGTAAATGAAAGAGGACATGAAAACTTGTGGAGCTGAAATAGACAAGCTTACGTTGAGCTACACTTAGGAACAATTTACCTTTTGCTTACACATGTCCAGGAGACCTACTGAATACCTGTCACAATTCAAATATGCTCTCACTGTGTAAAAAGATTTGTGGAATTGTCTTTCGATGTCAGTCAGTTCCTCAAATACTTTATTGGCTGACCACAGTAAAACCTGCAGAAGAGCAAAGCCAGTGAGATAAATTGCCTAGACAGTCTACTGAATTCAGAAGCACCATTTCTGATTTCTCTTTCTTTCTGTCTTAATAAAAAATAGATCTCATGGACAAAGTCAGGCCAGGCTTCATACACAATTTATTATATAAATTGCATTAAATATTAAAAATCATTGTCATTTTATTTTAAACACTTCCTTACTCATTTGATGTGCGATATTTGAACAATCCTAAGGATAATAATTTTCAATGGGAAAAAATAGTGATTACACGATGATATACATAAGTGTGTGGGTGGATGTTTGAGTGTACATATCTGTGTGTGTGTAAGAAAGAGAAAGAGAATGGCTGTATACAAGACTACTATGTGTTGTATGTGTTTGATGATGATTGCATATGGATATGTCTATGTGAGGGTGTTTGGGGATGTATGAATATGATTTTGGTACACCACCAATCAAACTGGAAGATTCCAATGGTCACACAATAGGATGATAGTAGAGAAAATAGCAGTGCAGTGGTGCCTTGGTACTCAATTATTGTGAAACTCATCAAATTCAGTACTCAAAGCATTTTGACCCATAAATATTGTTCTGGTACTCATAATTTGTATGGTACTCAACATCCAAGCTAGAATTTGTTGATGTTGGCTACCTTGGGACTCATTACATTATTCCTTATGGGAAAAATGTGTTTGGTACTCGTTGTTTTTGGTACTCGTTGTACCTCTCGTAACAAATTAGTGACGAGAAACAAAATACCACTGTATAGAGATGAAAATAGAAAAGGTGGGTAATAATCAACAAAACCTGAGACTTTATGAGTGGAACTGAGAAGTACCTAAGATACTTATAGAAAATCATTTAAATTTCCAAATCATGACCAAATATTTAAGATTCTGAATTGTCAAGCACTGAAGCCATTTCCTTCTCAGCATGTACCATGTAATGCACAAAGAAAACCATAAATAACTAAGCTTTCTTTATCCCTCTTGCTGAACTGGATTGGGCAAATAGTGTGAACAATATCCTTTCTGCTGCAAAATTGTTTCAGTTGCTTCAAGCAGTATATACTTTCTATTCAGTATCTGTCTAAAATGGTAAATACTTTGAGTAAATACTGAATACTGTAGTTATCTTAAAAATGTTCCAAAGATCATATTAAAAAAAACGTCAAAAATGGTCCAGCAGAACATTGTTCAAATATTTGTCTTTGGATTTCTGATCATGGACTGAAATAAATTATGACTGACATTTGTTTTCTATAATGTGAAAAGGAAGTAACCAAGAATAATCAAATTGTTAAGGGAGTATCAGAAAAGTTTACTTAGTCCAGAGAAAATAGAAGGCATGAGAAAGACATCAATATAAACCTGCCTTGATTTTAATTTCTGTGCCTGTAAAATACAATAGCTTTTAAACTCATTGGTTTTTAATACTCATACAAAAGCTGAGGATACCAGATGGCATATTGTCTGGTGGTGGCTCATTTTCCATCAAGTTTCTGAAAATATTCATATCCCACACTGATATATTTTTTAAATTGCAATTGACCTTTGTCTACTGTTCTACTGTTATAATGCATTCTAGTATTTGAGGGGCTCCTACAAATATGAGGGGGTCAACCTATTTTCCAAAGCACCAAAAGGCAAGACACGAAACAATGGATAGAAACTAATCTAGGAGAGAAATGAACTGTAGAGAAATGTCCTAGTGGTGAGAACAATCAACCAATGGAATGGCTTGCCTTCAAAAGTTGTGAGTGCTCCATCACTGGAGGCTTTCAAAAAGTGACTGGACAACCATTTATCTGAAATGGTATAGGGTCTTCTGCTTGAGCAAGGGGTTAGACTAGAAGACCTCCAAGGTCCCTTCCAATTCTATTATTTGATGTCCTATGTTCCTCGATTCTGTGTAGAGAACTGAACCATTCCAGTTTTTGAAACTAAGCAGAGAGAAAAGGCCAAGAGCCAAGAAATATAAGAAGGCAGAAAAGGTTTGACCAGTTTTAGTTTCGATAAGGTTTGTTCCAATTCTGTTCTGGTTTTGTCACCTTTCTATGACCCTCAAGACATACAGTCAGTAATTTCTGAAAGCCCTTTGACAGGAGATGTTCTCGTCAAAACAAAACAGTCCTGGGTCACAGGCACATTTTGAGGATTGGTTAAAAATGTGGTGCCTTTTACACACCCATACATGTGCACGCACCCATACCAACAGGTAGGTTTAGAGATAGCGGAGAAGTTCAGAGAAATTTCCTCACCTGGCCTTTTCGTGTTTCACAATTATGAAGGTAGCTCAGATGATAAATTTTCAGGTTCAAGGAGGCAAAATTGAGATACTTCAGGAACAGCTGAGACATTAAAAAAAAAAAAAAACTTTGCTCAGTTACGTAAGATACGGCAATGCAGTTATATTTAAATATGGATATTGGGAACTAGAGAAGGTCTCAGAAGATGCTTTCCCAGTACTTACATGTTCATCTGCACTGTTGAAAAAAGGACCTCCGATCTTATTCACTGCCATGATCACAGCAATTACATCTTTGCCATTCATTACTGGCGTGGCAAGAATGTTCTTTGTAGTAGACTCAGTGAGTTCATCAACAAATGTACTAAACTGTTGGCACTGTTTAAAAGAAGAAGAAATCAGAACACTTAGCATCTAACCTAACAGCCTAATCCTTTTTCATCCTTTTTTCTCTATACAATAATATAAAAATCATATCTGATTTTTTTGTGTGTGTTCCAAAAGTATCTTGGAATGACTTCTAAAATCCCATTAAAAACAGTGTTGTCATGTTAGGTAGGTTGTCCTCTGGAGGTGCAATGACAGGGAGACATCAACATGCAGGTCACACTGAATGGGAGGACTTTTTATCTAAATTTGGAACTGATCTGCAGCAAAGCTATGTTCATCCTGGGCAAAAAACCTTGTTTGAGATTTTACAATGATTCTTTTTAAAAAAAAAAAGTTTTTATGTTTTAAGACAAACATATACAAACAAAACAATGGAGATTTTACAATGATTCTTAAGTATCTGAGTCCAGCATTGCCTCTCCGTGGACTCACAATCTGTCTCCTTTCATTTGCAGATTATATATTTGCCAGTAAGGTTCTACTTGCTCTGTCCTTCAAAGTAAAAAGTCCCCACTTCACTCAGCTGGATGCCATAGAGATCGGCTGGAAATTAAATATGATAAATTCTCCAAGGAAAATGTGGAAGCTGCTATCTTAACATATCTAGAGGGCATTTATCTTGGGAAGGGTAAATTACACAATGGAGGCTATTTAAAATGTCACACCTCAGGGAAAGGAGAATCAAGCTGGTTTTAATTCCACGTGGAAGGGACTATTTGTTTACCTTATCTACTGTATCCTACCTACGAGTCTATGATGAGCAAATGACCTGGTTATGAAAGCATACTTAACAATGAACTAATCCCAGCAGAAACCATTTACAGACGGCAGGGATTTGAAATTAATAATACTGACTTGTGTGTGTGTGTGTGTGTGTGTGTGTGTGCAAGATATGATAGGACACAATCTGGATTTTAAGACTGGGAAGAAGTGTAATATATTTGTGCCATATGGCACAAACATTTGTCGTCTGGGAGCGAATACAAGGAATCCTTAACTTATTATCACAATTGAGCCCGAAATTTCAGTTGTGAGACAATTTGTTAAGTGAATTTTGCTCTATTTTACAACCTTCCTTGCCACAGTTGTTAAGTGAATCGCTGCAGTTGTTAAGCTACCAACACAGTTGTTAAGTGAAACTGGCTTCCCCATTGACTTGGCTTGTCAGAAGGTCGCAAAAGGTAATCACATGACCCCTGGGACACTTGCAACCATGAATCAGTTGCCAGGTGCCTGAATTTTGATCATAAGTACATGGAGATGCTGCCACGGTCATAAGTGTGAAAAGTGCTGAAAACTTCTTCAGTGCTGTTGTAACTTCAAATGGTCATTAAATGAACTGTTTTAAGTTGAGGACTACCTGCACTTTTGTTTAACAATCAGACCCACATGTGTGGAGTTCAAAGAAGCTACTTTATTGTTGTATGTTTATTCTACAGGAATCTCCCCAGACTGGTACTTTCCCCTGGGAAAGACTAGCTAAGGTTCAATGGCATTCAGGATGGAGTGAGGGGATCAGACCTTGCCTCTCGGGTTTACCTAAGGATTCCACGCTAATTTCTCCCTTGGGTCCTCTTCCCAACTGGGATGGTCGTTCTCCAACAATTTTCCACTCAGGTACTTCCCTGAAGGCACTATTCCTAGACTGCCACAACACTTTTGTTAACTCCAGTCCATTGTCCTTGGTTAACCAAGTTAATTTACTTCCAGATCAGCTGCAAGACAGCACATGGAAATGTTCTAGTTTCTAACTTGAGAGGCTGATGTTCTGAGGAGCTTAAGTGCAGGTGAGTCATTTTCCATTGTCAGGAATTTCCATTTCTCTCTCTTAGGATCCTCCCCTTCCACCCTCATTTAGGAGTATCTGTTTCTTTTTTTAGCAGGGAGATGGGCCCTGACAGCTTGTTGGCTCCCCTCTCTTAGCAACAGTCGTGTTTACCCAATGAATGGCAACAGTAGGGACACAGTGTTCTCCAGATGATTAGCTAGAAGGACCATTGATTGGATCTCAACACTTCAAGGTCAACGGTAGTGTGAGCAAACCTAGTTAGCTTCAACCTGTTTCTTGGAGAGTGAAGCTAATAACAGTGTGGAAGTGCTTTTGAAATGAAAACAATTGCTATCTTGTAATGTAGTCACACCCTTCTCACTTGAAAAACTTTTCTTAAGCAAATTGGTGTGAGCAAATTACATTTGAAAATCCTTTGAATATTACTGTTCAATGGTGACTAAAATATCTACATTCTTTGAAAAGAGCCCTGTATTATTGGACTAAACAACCATCTACTTCAATGTCTGACTACTAATAGGAGAAGAGCAATCCCCTGTCCATGCTTCCAAACAACCAGCATCAGGAGGCATGTTCCTTCTTGTGCACCAATCATACTTCACTAATTCAGAATCTCTTAAGGATGCCTTCCAATTTCTGCAATTGTTCAAAATTATTTGATGATACAACTTTCAGTTTGGTCGCTTGAAACAAGATCGTTCTGATGATGTTTCAATGACCAAGGAAAGGAGATGTTCACCCATAGGAGTTCAGTTAGATCATGATGAGCTGGTTTCACTCAACCTACTTCTTCTGATGGTTGAGGGATGGGAGTAAAGTAGGAAGTTTGTATATGCATTTGCAGCAAAAAATCACTTTGGGCTGGTATTAAGAAGGTAGATATAGAACTGATACCTTGCAAGAAACTAAAATGCTATGGGATCTCCTGAAGAGTTCATGTGGTCTTGAATATATAATGAATAGCCAGTGCTGTGAATCACTCTTCCTAGGTTCAACCTAAGAATCATTATGTGAGATGAGCAGCTATATAAATGTGATGAATATATATTTAAAATAACTTTATGTTAATGTCACAATTCTCTAAGAAAAGTCATCCATTGTGCAAGAGAAGCTCAAAAGATGCTAAACCTCCCATCAATGGACATACCAGTTCAGAATTAGAGTTGATAGCTTTAACTTCCATATCATCCAGAGGTGGGTATTCAGCAGGTTCTGACCAGTTCTGGAGGACCGGTTGCGGAAATTTTGAGTAGAATTGGCAAATACCACCTCTGACTGGCCCCACCCCCATCTATTCTCTGGCTCCCAAGTCCCAGATGGGTCTTCTTTTATTGCTTTGCATAGGAGAGTGCAGCTGGAAAGCAGGTTAGTGGGGTGGGGAGGGAATGGGATTTTGCAGTAAACTTCCCCCTGAAATGGGGTGGGAATGGTGATTTTATAGTATCTTTCCCCTGCCACACCCACCAAGTCACACTCACCAAGCCATGCCACACCCACCAAGCCATGCCCACAGAACTGATAGGAAAAAAAATTGAATCCCTCCACTGATATCATCCCTATAGACATATCCATATTTTCTCCAATTTGTCAGATATAACCCCCTCACTCCAAGCCCGCATAGCAGAAATAGTCAACTGAATAGCCATGGCATTGGAAAAGGAGGTATGGGGAGGGAAAGAAGAGGGTGGGGTAATCGCCATTGGACAGTCAAGAAGAATCCTCAAAGAATATACTGGAGGAAAAATACAAAGTGGTAGAAAGAAGGATCAAACCAGTGGTTTGGAAGCACATTCCACATGTACAGAATAACAAAATGCTAGTAGCAGTCTAGCCAGAAACATACAGACCAGAGAAGGAAATTTAAAATGAATGAAGAGATTGAAAGGAAAATAAAGGAACACCCCCCCCCCAATAACATTACAAAGAGAATGAATAAGAGAACTTAATCTCTAGAGGAAAAGGAGCCAACAAAGAGACCTTTGCTGTGCTAAACCACAACAAGAGAATGGAAAAATAGATGAACACACAAGGAATGTAAACACAATTATTCTGTTTTTCTTATTGTTCCTAGGTTTGTAAAAGGCTTCTTACGCTACAACTCATGACGTGCAACAAATCTTTGATTTAAAGAGCTGTTGTTCTTGCTCTATCTAGGCACATCAGGTAGAAAAATAGGTACACAGCCAACCCCACTTCCCCATAATAAACAAGCCTCAACAGCGGTACCTTGGTACTCATCATTAATTGGTTCTGGGAAGCATGATGGGCGCCAAAAACAGTGGGTACCAAACCAAAATTTTCCCATAAGGAATAATGTAGTGAGTCATAAGGCAACCGACACCAACAAAATGTTCATGTTAAAATGCATTGAGTACCAAATTCAATGAGTTTTAAAGCAACTAAGTACCAAGGTACCACTGTATTATATTTACTGTTTTCTTCTACTAAGAACACGAGCAGACTGTGCTGGATCAGACCAAAGGTCTATTCAACATTTTGAGTTTGCCAGGCAGATGAATCCAGGAAACCAAGTTCATGACAAAAGGACAATTATCCCTTCTACTGTTGCTTTTAACCAATGGAAGTTAGGCTATGCTGCCTTCAATTCTGGGGGTGATATCCAGTCAACAAGAGTTTTGTCCTTTGAATGTCCAATCCCATGTGACTGTCTGCTCTTCCTTTGAGATATTTTGAAGAAGCAGATTCCTTAATTTAACAAACAGCTGTCTGATGTCCTTAATTACTTCTGAATCTCTTACATTTTAAGTCATTGGAACAACTTGCTTCCAGAAGTTGTAAATACTCCATCACTGGAAATTTTAAAGAAGAGATTGGATAACCATTTGTCTGAAGTGGTGTAGAGTTTCCTGCCTAAGCAGCGGGGTTGGACTAGAAGACCTCCAAAATCCCTTCTATTCTATTCTATTCTATTCTATTCTATTCTATTCTATTCTATTCTATTCTATTCTATTCTATTCTATTCTATTCTATTCCATTCCATTCCATTCCATTCTATTCTTCTGAGACCAGGAGAAAAACATTTTCTATTTTTAACTCACTATGAATTATTTTATATATCTCCAGCGATAGGCACTTTGATGACCTTCATAAGAATCCTGCAATCTTTTGCTTAGGGCATGCCAGTTGGGCTTAAGTAGAGGTAAAGGTGGTATTAAGTTGTCTATTTTGATCTAAAAAGGCTTTTTTTTTCAAGGGGAGCTGTATCTTCAGTATCTTCACTGTTTGAAATCAGCCAAGAGTTGGCTAGGTGCTGTTGCTGGTCCCTAAATTTATTTATTTAATTTATTTATTTGATTTGTCAATCTCTTACAACATAATAGGTATAAGTATAAGCATGAATAAGAATACAGGAAATAGGTACTAATAAATGGGGACATTAGGACAGGGATGGTAGGCATGATTGTGTACTTATGCATGCTCCTTACAGACCTCTTGGGATGGGGTGAGGTCAATAGTGGATAGTTTAAATCATAGTGAAAGAATCCCTGCCTTCTTAAAACCCTTCTGAAATATGAACACTAGTTAATTTTTATTCTTCTGCATCATTTATCAAAAACAGATAATAACCTCAAGCCTTACCTCAAGAGCATTCTGGATGTTTATGGTCTTCTTGGTCTGAGCAACATGGCCCAATACACCCGTGTCCAGTGGGAAAACAATTTCAGAGTCAGAAGTCACCAGACATTCTTCCAAAGTGCTGTTCTTATGAACGTTGAACAGCCGGCTAGCCAGCTCAGGGGTGCCATTTCGCTGCCTGTACATAAACAGACTGCACCACGCAGCGTTGATGAGAGCACTGATTCTCTTGAGGGTCTTGAAGACCACCTTCTCCATGTTGATGCTTTCCTGCATGTCTTGTATCAGCTCGAAAAGAGTTTCTGTTTCTACCGGGTCCATCCCCTCAAAACCTGTGCTATCTTCTGAGGACTGTTCACCGTTCATCTTGGGACAGGAGAAGGCTCTATCCTCCAGTTTCTTCTCGAAATACTGCTTGGCAAAATCTGGATTGCTATCCAAGAAAGTTTCGACTTCCTCTTTGTTGATGCTCATGATGGCAAATTCTGATGCTGGAGCCTTCAGGCAATGGCTGTACAGAATAACAGGGTCCCCACACATACAGTGTTTGTGTAGAGTGTGGAGATTATAATCAGCAAGGCAATTCTCCAACAACAAGCTATTGTTTTGACCAGGGTGTGCAAGTGCAGATCTTCTTAACCAAGCAGCTTAAATGACTGGTTTCAAAGCTGTTTCAAATAAGGGCGTATGTATATGTGATTATGATTTCCCCCCTCTCCTAATGGTGATAGTAGAACTGAAATAAGCTTCTTGGAGTCTAATTAAATACACACAGCTCAATTGTAATCCTTAGCCAATCAGTTTCCTATCTAATTACACCTGTTCCCAGCAAGAGTATATCTAGTTAAGAAAAATGAACTATAAATGGACTGACATAGAAATGGCCAGAAGAAGCAATTATTGTACTATGCATTTTCTCTAGAAAATGGTATTTCTTTGATGGAAGAGCTGGCTCATTTTAGGCTGGCCATGGGTTGGATTTCTAAAGGCATTCAAATACTTTATATCTTTTCCTGCTTGGATAGCAGGAAAGAGAGAAGTGCACACATCCGTTATATTACCTGAAATTAAATGATCTTGAATCAGGTGCCAAAGAAGACTGTGGGAATAAACTTTGACTTGGGTATTGGGTAATGATTGGTCTAAGACCTTATACATACATGCTTGCTTAAAGGTCACTGAGATAGTGTAAGGAAATTAAAAACAAACACTAGAAACAATCAAGCAGCTCAGACAACTGTAAACAAGTCTGTACTATATTTAATTATTGTAATCCACAATGTGACTGTACTTGCTATGCTAAAAATCTCAATAAAAGGGAGCACTGGAATTTGCTCTGGGCTCTCATCCCGAGAACACTCGCTTGTGTCTCATCTTTTCCATGAGAGACCACCACAGAAGACCTTGTTCTTTTCAATTCTGCATTAGCCAGCGCTCATATGAGCTTTAGTTCTGGACATCGCCTTCCTTGAAAAACATTGAAAAATTGTAATGTCTCCAGAGGAAAACATACTAGATGGCCAAGGATCTGGAAGGAAACTCTCACAAATAATAGAAGGCTTGGATACGTCTAGCTTGGAGAAATACAGCCTTGAGGAATGGCAATGAGGCATACAGGTATCTGCAAAGTGTGGTCAAAAAATGCCTAGAAGGGGATGGTACAGAGCTGGTATTCAGCAGGTTCTGATCAGGAGAACCGGTAGTGGAAATTTGGAGTAGTTCAGAGAACCAGTAGTGGAAAGTTTGAGTAGTTTGGAATACCACCTCTGACTGGCCCCGCCCCCATCTATTCTCTGCCTCCCGAGTCCCAGCCGATTGGCTGGCTCTTTCTTTGTTGCCCTGCACAGGAGAATGGAGCTGGAAAGCAGGTTAGTGGGGTGGGGAGGCAATGGGGATTTTGCAATATCTTTCCCCTGGAGTGGGATGGGAATGGAGATTTTGCAGTCTCCTTCCCCTGTCACATCCACCAAGCCATGCCCACCAAGCCACGCCTCACCCACCAAGCCATGCCCACAGAACCGGTAATAAATTTCTTTTAATCCCACCACTGGGTGGTGGCCATACCTGCTTTTCATATGTGACCAAAATATTTCTTTGTTTCAGTGTGTTTTGTTTCTTCATCAGCCCGTTAGATGGCACTACAGCTCAACAATTGCAATTTCAAAGGCTAATTTTACTGAGAGAAATCTCTCCTTCCAGCCTATGTTGAACACCCTGAATTAAATTAGGCTGTACAAATCACTGAATACCAAGGCATGTTAATCCTCAGCTTTGCTCAAGATTATTAAATTGGAGTTTGCACATCTTATTTAGAAAATTGAATCCCAAGAAATAGCAGAGATTCATTCAATTTGGGCCAGTTCTGCAGTAGCAATAGCAATAGCACTTAGACCTATATACTGCCCCATAGACCTATATACTGCCCCCTTTACACTACAGCACTTTCTGGGTAGTTTACAAGGTCAGCATGTTGGCCCCAACAATCTGGGTCTTCATTTTACCAACCTCAAAAGGCTGGAAGGCTGAGTCAACCTCAGTAGTTTGAAGCAAACTGGGACTGGACGCAACTAGAATAGAATAGGATCTGGAAGGGACCTTGAAGATCTTCTAGTCCAGCCCTCTGCTAAAGTAGGAGAACCTTTCAAACAAGTGACTGTCTAATCTCTTCTTAAAAACCTCCAGTGATGGAGCACCCATGATTTCTAGAGGCAAGCTGTTCCACTGGTTAATTGTCCTCACTGTTAGGAAGTATCTCCTTAATTCCCGGTTGCTTCTCTCTTTGATTAGCTTCCAACCATTATTTCTTGTCCTGCCTTCTGGTGCTTTGTAGAACAATTTGACCTCCTCTTCTTTGTGGCAGCCCCTCAAATATTGGAACTAGTTTGATCTGAATTTGGATTTCAAAAAGCTCAATCCAATTCATAACACTAAAATGCTAAATAGCTTCTGTAAAAAAAAAAAAAGGTCTTAACTTCTTTAGCAAATGCCAAATAATTGAGACAAACGATAGAGACAATTGGATTCAGTAATTGTCAAGGCTCACTTCATACCAAAGGGATCATATTAATAATTAGACCACTGAGGTCAACCTAATCATAATGGAATGATAATTAAGTCTATTATGATTTGTTTCATGCATATCTTTATCATTTCTCAGCAGTACACACTGTGAATAGTGTCGGTTTTCAGATGATCCTACAATTATTTACTCCTGTTTAGATAAAGCTCGTTACCCCTTGAATGACTCCTTTATTTTTTACTTTATTCTTTGATGACATGATTGTCAATTCTTTTTAATCAAGTCAGTTGTGGAAACTTATACTTGCAAATAATTAAGTAAAGGGCTTTAAATATTGCCTCCTTTCTCCCCACCTCCAAAACCAGCACCTCATAATAGGACCTTACTAAGGAATATTATTATCTGGAATGTTATTTCCCTGAGCACATTTTGCACAAAACTCCTGTTCTTCTTTGTGAAAATTTGGAATGGTTGTTTCACAGAGAATGGAATACCTGTGACATTTAAATAGATTCAAATGTCATTAAATCTATCCCCAATCTACACAGTTGGTTCTCGACTTAGAGTCATTCATTTAGTGACCATTTGAAGTTACAATGGCGCTGGAAAAAGTGACATGACCATTTTTCATACTTATGACCGTTGCAGCATCCTCCAGGTCATGTGATCAAAATTCGAATGCTTGGCACCTGGTTTATATTAATGATAGTTGCAATGTCCTGGGTCATACAACCAGCTTTTGTAACCTTCCAACAAAGAAAGTCAACAGCCAGATTCACTTAAAAACTATGCTACTCAAATCAAATCAAGTGTCAACTCATAAAACATATTGTATACATGTTTTATAGTTGTCAACAGAAAGGAGGGTGGAGTTTCAAAGAGCAGGCAGCAGTGTGGAATCGAAAGTACATTCCATTCATATTTTCTTCAGAGACCAATTAGATGACTGAAGCTTCTGCCCCGAAAAAATCTAATTGGAGAGCATGACTGATGACTCTTGGCTATGGACGTGTTTCGTTGGATGATACACCCAGAGGGGTGGGGGGGAAAGCAGGATCAAGGGTGACGGTGAATTACCTATCTCAGAGTCAGCTACGCCCAAGCAAATGCCGGCATGTTAACTTCTAATAAATCCATAGAAGCTTTGGGAATGTGGCTCGAGGCTCATGATTTCATTGAAATAACTGCCAGAATCCTGACATCAAGTTTATTGCAGTCAAAAACCAGAGACCAGAACATATAAAAACACTCAAGGAATATCCAGTTAAAAATTCTAGAATAAGGCAATTAATAACAGATGAAATCTATATTAAAATTACAAATTGGCATCCCACCTGTCAGTTACACATGGCCTAACTATACTATAATATCAGTCCTTAAACTGTGAGGCCCATAGTCATTCAATACTAAAATGCCAAATAGTAAGGCAAAAGGGTTTGTTACATTAGTTGTGTAAAATAGCTATGATGGATTAATCACATGCTTTTGACGAATACCCAGCGCTGCTGCGCAGAATCCAGCTACCTGCGCCGTAATCACAGTCTACTAACTACTAACAACTATAGTAATTCACTTAACAACTGTGGCAAGAAAAGTCATAAATGGGGCAAAACTCACTTAAGAAATGCCTCACTTAGCAATGGAAATTTTGGGCTCAATTGCGGTAGTAAGTCAAGGATTAGCTGTATTTTTTTCTTCTTCTTTTACATGAAAGATAAAATTGGGTTTTTCCTATACTAGATAATGGGAAGCACAAAGCTTCAAATTGCACTTTAAATCTGGAAGACTGAGGACTGAGACCAAATTGAGTTGGGACAATTCCCAAATTTTGAAGCTGGTTTCCAAACCATATCCCATAGTCTGTACATGATCCTAATATTATTGATTGATCAAATAACAATATTAACATTTATCTTGATAGTCCATCCAACAAACATGGCCAATGCATTATTTTAAGTTCGCATTTGATAAATCGGTGGGTTCTGACAAATGGATTGAGACAATTGCTGTCATCCTGAGATCAAGTTCAGTCATATCCATCGATATATATTTGTCCAGCGAGATGATTTTCTTTCTCCCTAATTTATATTAAATAGTTTACATTTGTGGTTGAGGATCATTCTTGTTCTATATTAGCATACTTGTAATACAGCCTCCTGATTGGTCCACCGATACTGCCTCCTGATTGGTCCAATTAACCGACTCTGATTGGCCTGTATTACTACCTTGGGATTGGTCCTTTGGACAGCGGGAGATTCAAGGGGCCGTTATTGGCCGCGAGCCGCGAGCAGCCGCTATAAAAGAGGCTGCCGCGGTTCCGCGGTTTAAGCAGATTTTGAGAACTAAATAAAGAGCTGAAAGTCACACCGATCTCGAGTCTCATTTTTCCTGCGATCTAACAATTCTCTACTGTGTTCTCAATCATTTTCCTATCCACTATTTATCTAAATATCAA